AGCCAAGATAACTTTGTACCTGCTACTGATTTCCCTCTTGCAAACCACCTTTCAGCTAACTTTTAATCAAACAAGTTACAACATACAGAATAGGTGACAACAGGTATAGAATAAAAGCCCCCTACAGCCTGTAGCTGCTACTCCACCCTGTGAAAACCTAGACTTTTAGAAAGCAAGTCCCTAAGACCTATTACTGGCTGTAACAGTTTGTGACATCTACTATGGATAGTACAGCAAGATTACTTATGTAGGTGCTCAGACACCATGGCAACCAATGCTGTATTATCACCTAGAGTTGCACGGCATTCTCACTGAAGTCAGTGGTTTCTTTGAGATGTACTATAATTTATTGCAGTGGGGGGCCAACCTTTTTAGTAGGTGTGCCAAAAATTAAGCCCTGTGGTCTACCAAATATCACTCTGATCCCCTTCCCCTGCCGGATCTTTTGCTTTGCTTTTGGCTCCCTGCTCTGTGCTCCCTGCCCAATGAGCAGGGGGTTGGACTCGCTGACCTCCTGAGGTCCCTTCCAACCCTAATAATTTTCTATGATTCTACCACTCTTCTTTCTGCTCTCCCTATCTGTTCTGATGCTGTGCTTTCTGCTCTATGCCCTATGTGCTTCTGTGATGCCTGCCCCTTCCTTGATCTGCTGTATGCCACACAGAGGTTTTCTGTAGCACATGTGCAGCAAGTTGGCCATCTCTGATATATTTATTTTTGTCTGGCAATATATTTAGAACAGTGTAAGAATGAAAATAAAGATAATCCCTTATCACAGATGACTTCAGTAAAGGATCAGTCAGGCCCCTTGCTAGATAGACCATGGAGCAACAGTCAGATGTTAGAGCTAGATCTGTGTCAAACTCAAAACAAACTCTCTCTTTCTAGATCCCAAGCTGCCTAGGGACCAAACCGTCCACTGGTATTGAGCTGGAAAAGCCACAAGGTTGCTTTAACCTATGCCAGCTGGAACAGTCCCGCTTTGAGATCATTCCATAGGCCTGGAATGGTTGGAGTTTGATATGTGCTGGCCACCATCATGTCTCCATCAATCTACCCCAGGGGAGCAAGGGAACGGGTAACATAACGTATGTTCAGGGAATCGGCAGCTGTGTTCATTGAGAATAGGTCAGGTATGTGTGTGCTGCTAGAGTGGTGCAAAGGGGGTTTCCTTGAGGCTAAAGAGCTCTAGCCCTTGGATTTCAAGGCCTAGTATTTCTGTTAAATTACGCTCCTAGATACGCGTTCTCTTGCCCCTGAGGGACCTGTGCGTCCCTAAGTCTTGCATACTTGGCAAGATTCGCCCTATACACCTGCCAAATACGAAGAGTACCACATAATAATTTAAACCAGAAATTCATGCTGAGCCAAATTCATCCTAGTGAAGCCAGCCCAGTTCCACGAAAGAAGAATTTGGCTTGGCAAGTTATGTTTTCCTTAAACCTTGGGGCATTCACAGCATAAATTATAGCAGAACTAACTTGTTGTTGTGTGCACTGTGGTAGTGCCTAAAGGCTTCCATCAAGACAGCAGCCCCATTTAACAAGGTGTGGTACAACTATTAGCTCTCATTTAAGAGCTTATATATGGAGGCAGATAGTTCTGTGCCTGTGCAGAATCCCACTGAATTCAGAGAGGCTCCACTTACTTATAGGGTTATCTATAAGGATCAGGAACAGTCACAGAGGCAGTGGTTGCTCAGAGGAATTTAAGACCAAAATAAGATGCAACAAGTGGATAGCAGGCAAGAAGCAAGATAAAATGCAACCAATGGATTAACAAGAAATAAAGGTGATGGTGGGAAATAGGATGTAGATTATGGTGCTAAAAGGAGTAAATATATAGGTGGGTGCTGTACAGCATGTCTTTTTTCAGATTCTGTCTCTCAGGTTTTTGTCTTATTTAATTTATCCTCTACCCATTTCCTTTTAAGCCTCTTGTTATTCCCTTTCTTAAATAAACATAATTGTTTATTTTTAATCTCTTTCCCAGAATGGTAAGAGAATAAAAGGAAATGTAGTTACATAAAATGTTTCTTTAATACGTCTATATAACTTTTATTGGGTACAGTCCCCACACCTACAGACTGTAGTCAGTGACTCCCATTGATGTCAGGAGGCATTGAATGAGACCCATAGGCCCTTGTGTATGAACTATCTTGCTCATCTTGTTAGATAAACCCAGCATTTGTCATCAGGTACAACAGATCACTTACTTGGTCACATGGCACTGTCATAGCAGACAAAGATCTCTTGTTTTACTTTCAAACTTGGAAGGGTTTGTCTTGAGCTGCAATAAAGCTGAGTAGAAGACAGTGGCTCAGATCAGGCACCATTTTGAGAGGGATTAAAGGCTTCTGATTTAAGAGTTGATGAATTGGATCTAATTGGGAAGTATCAATCTAGCCTGGGAAGATTAGAGGCCAAAGCCTCATGTTTTCTCGGACAGACTAGGTGGGTACTGAAATACAAGTTCATGAAGGAAGGAGCAAGAATATGTCTCGGCATAATGGTTTTTTCTTAGACTGTTGGTATTCATTTTTTGTTTAAAAAATTTTTTTTACTAAATTTTTAAAAATGTTTTCTGGTAATTATTCATTAATCTTTTTTTTTAAATGTCACTACTTTTATGATTATCAGTATTTAGTGCACAAAGTTTGTTAGATTTTTTTTCCCCATTAATTTGAGGTTAGTGTCATTAACCACCTGAAAGTAATGTGGTGGCTAATACAATATTATGACTGCTCTACCAATCATCTTTGATTCTTTAGTTCCTACAAAACTAAGACAAGAAAAAATACTGAGGAGTATTGTAGTAATTGTGAGTTTCATACCTAGCTGGCTTATACATAACATTTTTCATCTGTAGGACTCAAAGCAGTTTACAGAGGAGGTCACTATCATTAAAACCCCTTTTATAGAAGGGGAATCAGAGGCACTGAGAGTAGCTCCTGGTTACAAGCATATCATGGAAACTGTTTTTTCTAAATTCCACTTCAGTGGGCTATTTACTACACCATACTGCTTCCCTGAGTTGTGATTAAAAGGTCTGCCCAGCAGCACATCACACTACCATGGTTAAAGCACACCAGTTTCTATAGCTGTTTACTGGCTACTACTTATCTGGCTGCCTCTTACTCTCATGCATGAATGGCATAGTCCTTTAGAGAGAGACTGACTTGGGGCAGCTGTCAGCACAAATCAAACTCATGTCACTGGAGTTGTAAAAAGATGGCTGTACCTCTGTTAGCATAACTCACATTTTAAGTTAATCTTAACGAAACATAGTCTGCCATTTTCCTTGGCAGTGATGCCACTATATGGAGGAAGAGAACATTACTAAAAATGTAAGAAAAGGGCAAGAAACAGGCAAGGTCAATGAGGTCAAGAAATTCTTCTAAATTAATCATGACATTTCAAAGACATTTGGGGACCGGAGTCTGAAGAAATCTTTGTAAAGAATAGATATAGAACCTCTATAGTACTTGGATATCAAGGAGCAATGAACCCAAACTTTCTAAAGGAAGGCTTTCAGGTAAAAGTGAATAGTACCACTGTAGCAGTCTGTCTCCATTTTTAAATGCAAATTCTTTGGTAACGTACACTTGTACTGTTAGAAGGAGATGCAAGCACCTGTTGTGACAAAACTCAAGATGACCAAAGCTATGGCCAGAGTCTGTTGTCAGCACTTCAAAAATAAATAACACAAACTTGATGCCATAAGGTGCACATATTTAGAATGAGTACAGAACAGGATAAAAAATAATACTGAAAATATTGTCATGTTATCATATATAGCTGAATCCTATGTCCTCACTTGGAATACTGTTTCCATTGAGCGCTAGGAGGGAGAGGGAGGGTGACTGATCCACAGCGTAGCTCATTTTGATGCCCTGAGTAGGTGGCCTTTGGGAAATGCCACTCCTTTTTTTTTCCTCTCCAGTCGCGGAGCTGAGCCCAAGGATGAGGCTCTGAGCCCATGGGTGTCTTCAAGCCATACAAAGGCAGAGGTGGGCAGTAATGCCATCATCTTGAGCTGTGAGCAGCACCTCCTTTGGGTGATTTCCTGCCAACAGCCTCTACAAGAGCTTTGCCACTTTTTTATTTTCTAAGTTTGAGCCTGGGGCAGGGGGGCGACTGAACCAGGAGATTTCCACATTTTCTACTGAGGAGCTTTAGAAATGATCCCCGAAAGTTCACTTCTTCTATTTTTATTTATTTTTGCTCTAAACATTTCACCAGATTGCAAGTCATCCTTGTGCATGGGGCCCTGCTATGTACAGCAACTAGCACCTGGAGGGAGGCTTATGAGCTTGCCAGCCCAGGCACTACTGGGGGGCATTTGTATTGCCGCACTGAGTGCGGTCACTAATTTTGCCCACCAGGGACCACGAATAGCTCGGAGTGGCTGCAAACGTGGCTGGCAGCATTCACTGGCTGCTTTATAACTTCTGCCTATAGCCAGACTTGGAGTTTGCTACAGACAGAGCTGACAGAGAATGTGCTCTCCTCTGCTCCGCCCTGCACTGAACCCTTTCACCCTTCCCAGGGGCCAGCAAAGGCTACTATCACCCATTTCCCCTCAAGACCTGGCTTTGCCCACTCTGCGCATGCGCATCGAAGCCTGGGCCTGCCTTCAAGTAACCCGCACTCAGTGCAGGCGCAATGTAGCCAGCAGGCTCTGACTTCCCGCGCCTGCGCACGATGGACAGTCTTGGCGCTTGCGCACATCCCGCCGGTGTGACGTCAGCGGGCCACCTTGTTTAGGGAGCCAATCAGCGGCGCAGCCTTTCTCCCTCCTTCCCCTCCCCCCCAGCGGGAGGGGCCGGTCCTCCACGATCCCGTGATGCAGCGCGGCGGCGAGCCCCAGCAGTCGGCGGCGGCGCCCGCCATGTTG